TCATCCCTGGAGTTATGATTGTAATTTTCGATTTCTGATTTCAATTAAATCAATTCCTTCCTCTCAATGTGTTCTTACTTCATCCGATAGCTATTCTAAAGATTTCGATCCTCATCATAATGTTTATAGATCTGATTTTTACTATTTGACATAATTTGCTTTATATACAAAATATATGCTGATAAGAACTGCAACTTTTTCTTGAAAATTGATTAGAAATTTTAGGTCTTCTTCCGAGAAAGATAGAATAGATATTTAAGTGTGGTCATATGTGATATATTTATAGAGGGAAGCATATTTCACTGAAGTTATCAGTTCTTACATAAAAACATGATTACTACATACAAATGAGTGTTCATTAAATGCAGCAAATAGATTTATAAGCCTGGCAAATGATAAATCTTGTGGATCTATTACTCTCTACGCACTTGAGTGTAGATTGATGGTAAATAATCACTTTTTCTTGTTAAATGGATCTCTTATTAGAGAAATGCACCCCACCGGTTATACCCACCTTAACTGTTATCGTATTACTCTTCTGGAGTTATATCTATCTCCGTGGAACCTGAAAGGAAAATGGATTTACGATTTGATTGTCATCTCTTCTTTTGTTTTCTCAGAAACACAATAGAGATTTCTGGTAAAGTGACATGGCATAATTGTACGTTTCTACATATCTATGGTACAGGAGAACGTTGATACTCTTATCAAAGCAGCTACAGAAGATCTTGGGTTCAGTAATGGAAAACCAGTTGTTACATATATCATATACAAAAGTCTTGTGCACTGGAAAGTTTTTGAAGCAGAAAGAACCAGTGTATTTGATCGTCTTATCCAGGTGTTTGGTTCTGCAATACAGGTGAGATGTTTACAGTGAACACATGAACATGTTTCTGCAAATTGCAAAAGATTTGTTGTTTCTGCCACTGTTTATACAGTTTATTTATCCAGGGATGTTTATATTCTGAAGATTTCATGTGCACTGTCTGAGATATTCTAAGGCGAACTTTTATAGACCATGACTTATTGATTTGAAGAAAAGTATAGGAAAAATGTCCCAAAATTTATCCAAAGAAGAGCATGGACCACATGAGAGGTTTCATTGCCTATTGGTACTGAAAGAACATAAAACGTTTATCTCTCATGTCCACATAAAAGATGTATAAGATAAAGATTTTCACAGTGGTATTTCCTGGTAATATGTTAGTCAAATATAAAAAATTTAATAACGGGGAATAATAGTGACGATGTTCATGAGAATGATAAGATGTTAACATCACATTAATTTGTAGTTGACTGTGGGTATGTAAAATGAGAATGTTTTGGGATTCCGTAGTCTAAGACTAATATATGTCCTTTTTCCTCTGTTGTGTTTGAGAGGATGATTGAGACAAGTATAAGTTTTTTCTCAATTCTTACTCTTTTGAATGTGGCAGCACTGCTCTACTATTTCACCCTTGATAGTGTGTGTGTGTGTGGGTCTCTCTCTCTCTATATGTGTGTGTGTGTGTGTGTGTGTATATATATATATATATATCTCAGTTGAATGCACTTTGGACCTTGAAAGATATAAATATTACATTAGGTTTGTTTCCTAATGAGTAGTGTATTTTATCAATAAATTTGATCTATTTAATTCTCATTTTTATGTGGATACTAAATCACCTTGCATATTGACTGTACACTGTTTTTCCCAGAAAGAGGAAGACAACCAGCATATGTCTTATTGGCTCTCTGCCACATCGACATTGCTGTTTTTGCTTCAAAAGAGTATAGGTTCCGGTGGAGGTGCTCAAAAACCCCCCCAACCAACATCAATATTTGGAAGGATGGCACAAGTACCGACTTCTTGACTCTACTCTCGAACTCATACACCCTCTATTAATTTATATATATTTCCATTTGTGTATCATGCACATTGGAGCAAATAGGAGCTTATTTCGTAATTGCCATTTTGTAGAGCTTTCGCAAATCTCCATCGTATAGCAATCTTGAAATAGTGCGCCAAGTCGATGCCAAGTACCCAGCTTTGCTTTTCAAGCAGCAACTAACTGCTTATGTTGAAAAAATATTTGGAATCGTTCGTGACAATTTGAAGAAGGAACTGTCAACATGTATCTCTTCTTGTATCCAGGTACCTTTGTGCTGTTTGAACTGTGGATCAATCACTGGTTTCTGCTATCTAACTTCAAGCAAAACTCTATAACTTTCTGTTGAAGATTATAGAACACAAGCTCTTGTTATGGCCTAGGGCTTTCTTATGACTTCTCATCCCGTTAGTAATCAACTTATATTGTCGATTTTATACTTTCCTAACAATTCAGGCAGCAAGAACGTCAAAAGCTACCACTCCTCCATCTATCTACTGGCAAAACGCCGTTGGATGCCTAAATGGCATGCTCCATACTTTGGAAGAATACCATGTATGTGATCTCAGTTTTTCAATAAATTTACAGATATCAAGTCCAACCTATGTTACTCCTGTTTTGACCTCATCAAACACAATTATATCAGGTGCCAATAGTTCTTGCTCAGAAGATCTTCGCTCAAGCTTTCTCTTCCATCAATGTACAGCTATTCAACAGGTAGATGCTCTGTCTTTTTAAATGGAAGTCTGATCATTTCAATCTATGCTATCAACTAGTGAATTGAAATTGCTTTCTATGTGCAACCTTAGCCTTCTTCTACGTCGAGAATGCTGCACATTTAGCCACGGGGAATATGTGAAAGCAGGGTTAGCTGAGTTAGAGATTTGGTGTCATAATGCCACAGAAGAGGTATTCTTTAGTTGGACATCTTTTATATTGCTTCAACTTAGCTTAAACAGTTCTAACTAATTCCATTAAATCAGTATGCAGACTCAGCATGGGATGAACTTAAGCATGTAAGGCAGGCAGTTGGATTCCTGGTATGCTTCTATTGTTCATTGTAGCACTTCAAAATGCAAACTTAATTTGCTATTTTCTTTTCCAAGTTTCACTTCATAGTTCTGCAATTTTAAACAAACTACTTCTATTGGTATGCTATTAACTCCTTATCATGGGAAATAGGTACAATAAGTTTCAATAAAGTTGGGAAAATTGCATAATGTTACAAACTTTATAAATTCCTATTTCAGGACCAACTTAACTGTTGAACTTACAAATTTCTAATGTAAGAATTTTTACACATGGTTGTCCCGAAATACGAATTTTAGAAAGGTTGTTACATTAATTGACAATGTTGATTCATTGTTATGCATAATAGGAACAAAGACAAAGTTTGATACGTTTCGGTGAATTTTGGCCTTAATGAATCTGCAGAGCATTGTCCTTTGATTATGAAGCAACTTATCTTGGTATTTAAAAGGTCTCACCATTTATATTATGCAGGTCATACACCAGAAGTCTAGAATTTCTTATGATGACCTCACAAAGGATCTATGCTCTGTAAGTCTTCGTATGTATGTTTTAAGTAGTATCCAGGTGGCATTTTCTTAATTTATGGAAATAACACAAGTGATGCATTCTGTTTCAGGTTCTAAGTGTTCAACAACTTTACAGAATTTGCACACTCTACTTTGATGACAATTACAATACTCCAAGTGTGGCCCCAGAAGTAAGAACAAAACAATAATCATCAATTACTCGTTTTCCCTATTTGCAACAATCCTTCCTCACTCTTTCATATGCAGGTTATTACTAAATTGAAAGCTAGTACAGAAGGCTTGGAGGATTCTGAAAATAACTCTTTTTTGCTAGAAGATGATCCCTGGTAAGCAATGAGATACATACAACACAACTTTACATGGTCACAATTTTGAAAAAGTTTCGATAAACCATATATATATATATATATATATATAATTTGTTTTTTTTTTTGTATATGCAGCGTTCCCTTTTCAGTTGATGAACTTTGCAGCTCCCTGAATGAGAAGGAGTTTGCAGAAATAAAACCTACTTGTTCCCTTGTGGAAAATCCAGAGTTCCGATTTCTAGTGGAGTAATGCTGTTTGGTTCTTTCTGCCTTAAAGTAACGACCATCAACCACCACGAGAGCATACATAGTCATGTTGGTCGAGCCATAATGTACATTCATCCATCCACCCCCATCTCTTTTTGTTCTCTAGATTTAGGTAGATTTCTCAAAAACAAAAAAATGAAGCATCCATTGCCCTGGGTGTAAGCATTAATTTTTTAGGTTAGATGTGTAAAATCCATAGGTGATTTCAGGTTAAGTATAGAATTAAGGGGAGGGATGCAATTTAACCTCTGCTACCTTTTATTCCATCAGGTTAATTCTTTGTAGCAATGTAGTTGGAAGAGCAACTATTAAGGAACCTAGAGTAAAAAAAGTTGGTTTTTGGGTCTTGTTGTTCATTTATCTTGTGATTGTTAATCTTTCTACATACAATCATGTCATTTCTACATTCTTGTTTTTGGGTCTACAAAAAGTTGCCACTGTATATATCTTACTTTTATTGCAAACTAACCATCAGTTTTGTTTAAAATACTATGAGAAAAACATTAAGTTGAATGATTTTGGATATGCATGTCTCTTGTTCATTAATTTAATAATGGATTTTTTATATATAACAGAAATCAAGACTCTTAATTAGTTTGTAATTGTTAGAACACAAAAAGAAAATGGTTGAAGGTAAGGAGAAGTGAAGCAGCAGAATAGAATGTTGTTGCAATTGGGAATTTTGATGTTATAACATTTTGAAATTGTTAGAAGAGAAATATTGTAATTAGGAGAAGTCACATCCATCCATAATTGCAAATCATATGCAACCAACAAACAGCTTGTTCTGCATCTACCCCTCACTCCTTGCACATTTAAAATAATCATTGTTGCCTTTATAAATGGACAAACCCATTGAGAATCATGTTAATCAATTTTAATCATTAGTGAGTTTTATTTAGGGAAAAGTTAAAAAGAAAATCTAATGGAATTTAGTGATTAAATTCTTGGATAATTTTTTGAAACAAATAAATTCTTGGACATTTTAAAACATAATAAATAAATCATTAATTTGATTTACTAAAATATTTTATATGAATTCTTATTAGGTAAAAATGTAAGCTGCAACCTACATAGCAAGTAAAACTACAAATTAAAAAACACCCTAAAAATTATATTGAAATCGCCGCTCCCCCATGCTCCCCCACCCAGTCTCAGTCAGTCGCCACGCCATCGCCCTCTGCCTACACTACAACCAAATTAAGATTATAGTACGCCACCAATTTCAAAGCATTCTAATAGACTGCTTTATAAGACTCAATTTATAGGACCAAAACATAAATGTTATACCTAAAGACGTTGTAATAAGTTTATAGGACGATTTTGGACGTATTAAAAAGTTTTATAGGACTCTATTAATACAAAGTGTGAAATTAGCTATTTTATTGGACAATTTTTAAAAACTTATCTTTTTATAGAACACTTGTTTTTGTAAGACAAATTTTCAAATAATGTCCTATAAATAGCTAATGTGACGTTTTATAATAAAAATGTCTTAAAAAATTATTTAGACGTCAAAAGCTCCTTATAAACTTATTACAACGCCTTTAAATAGGACTCTTTGGTTTTTGGTCCTATAAATTACGTCATATAAAGCAGTCTATTAGGAAGCTTTGAAATTGATGGCGTCCTATAAATCCGATTTTGTCGTAGTGCTAGCCCTGTCGACGTCGCTGCTGTCCAGTGTTGTCTCCATGAAGGGTGTGATGTACTTTTACAAACAGAAGTAGAAACACATAATTACAACTCAGACGGAGTGTAAGTGCATATTTGATTTTTGTCATCATTTATAGCAAGAGGGTTTTGAAATTTACAGCAAGAGGGTTTTGAAAATTAAGTATCTCCTGGTGAAATCTGATAGTTTGGTAGATTGGGGTTATTCAACCACAATTGAAGAAAATTTGTCAAATATGTAAGAAGGAAATCAATATTTTGTTTCATACTGATGTGGTACATGCATTAACAAAGATTTCTAATGATGTGAATAAGTGAAAGGGAGCTTGATGTCGTTGATTAGGTATATTGTTTATGGTCCCAAGGGTATTGGGGTTTTTTTGTATGAGGCGAAGGCCACGAATTAAGGTTGAGCCATAGATGAATGGTGGTGGGTAGGAGAGGGGCATTAGGAGTGGGATAGTGCCAACAACATTGGTTGTTGGAATCGATGTTGCTTGCGAGCTTGCAATGAAGGAGATGGAATACGATGATAAGGGGGTTATTAAACTGAAAGATAGGATGCTCAATGGCATCAGGGCTTAATGGGGGTGGTGGTGAGTGGAAGCACGAAAACCGGTATACAAAGAATTTAAACTTCTTTTTTGCGTTGAAGGAGAGAGAGCACATGTACTAGTGCTAGTTTGGAACCAACTTTTGGTATATATTTTGGTATATTTCGGCACACCTTTTGGTATATTTTGGTGCATATTTCAGCACACCTTTCGGTATATTTTGGTGCATATTTCAGCAAACCTTTCGGTATATTTTGATGCATATTTCAGTATATTTTGGCCCAATTTATATAAATGTGTGTGTGTGCGCGTACACGCTTTAAGTAMAAAAGTCGCATAATGTAAGGATTTATTCGTCATAARRATATATTTAATAGGTTTCAAAAGTCCAATGTGTGTGTGCGCGCACGCACTAGGTAAAAAAGTCGCATAATGTAAGGATTTATTCGTCATAAAGATATATTTAATAGGTTTCCAAAAGTCCAAGGATTTATTTAACATGTTTGAAATATTCAAGGACTTATTTGTTCCAAAAAATTGTTCAAAGACTTAATCATTTCAAACACTAAAGTCCATTGAGTTTTCTTGGACTTTCCCCTAAGTTAGAATTTTAAGGTGGTCTTGCTTTTTCATATAAATAATTATATTGTATTATTTCGCATGTGAAACTTACAGATATGTATTGTGTATTGTTTCACTGTTTCTTACGTTTTCAACATTTTATGATTCTCATTTTCACACACACACACACACACACACACACACACACACATATATATATATATATATATATATTCATCATTTTCTCAATTCTCATTTGAACATACCCATATATGTGTGTGTGTGTGTGAATAACTGAGTAACACTTTGTTAATCGTTCATCTGAATGATATACACATATGCATACAAATAATTGAAGTTGTTTCTTGGTTTTTATGCACATGTGCATACTAGGCATTAGGCAAATTGTTTAATTACTTGTATGCACATGTGCATACCATCTAGATAAATGGCTACCATGGTGTTCCTTAGTTTTTCATTTTTTTGTAGTTTTCCCCTTAACTCGACCTACAAAATCCATAGACAGAGTTGGTTCTGTTCAATCTCAACCAAACTTTGATAAGTGAGTTCTTCCATATTACAATATTATTTGCCCCGACCTCTTTCCGTAAAACGTTCAGACCACAAGACATACACAAGACAGTTCAAGAATGCCACATAACCCGGAGCGTCAAATCCAAAAGATGGCTTGTCAGTCACCCATCCCAAAGAAGATGTCAGTCCAATGATGCAAACCTCAAATAACCATATTTCTTTAAAACAACTGACTCCCTCACAAGGGAGTGTTTCTAACCTAGTTCAAATTCTAACTGGAACCTGATAATTCCATGCCAAAATTGCCATGTCGATTTCCATACAAGTTCCTACATCGAATCTCCCTCTCAATATTTAAATCACTACTAGGGTGAACATTGAACATTGCTGGAGCAATTTTCAACAATAGGATCTCAGTTTCCTCCCAACCTTGTCTGACTCATACTCTCTCAAGGGCAGCTTATGACCTCAATGGCTCAATTCCACAATTGATGTCCAAAATGAATTTACTCTTAAATTTCCAAACAACCTTTTTATACTAAGATACGCTTCTCACTTGCATTCAATCCTTTGATACTTTCTGTAAAAGTTGATCCGATGGTAATGGGACATACTCCTTCCAAAGTAAACTCTCATTACCATGTCGACTTCACCTAGTGGTAAGGGAATCCACATAAAATTCCTAAGTTGATCACCCGATGCCACTACTACATTGATATTTTAAGCTCGACAATCAAAGTCGCTTTAATTAAAAGATTTCCATTTGAGGTCAACCTTAGACACTCCCACTAAATTCCTCCAAATCATTACCATAAAACTTTTATCGTCCTTTCCTTGACGCGATCCTATCAACCAGTTCGGTACGGTTCAACACCACTCTGAATTGGTACTCCAAATCGTCACAATTTACGCCAACTGTAAGGATTCTAATATAATTCCTTAATCAAATGATTCTTGCCATTAGCCTGACATTTCATCCAGAAATGTACCGTTATACTCTACAAAAAGTCGATTATCCAACATCTAGAAGGCATTCAAACATTGACTCTTCAAAATAAAATCCTTAACGAATCAAAATGGTCGCAATTATCAATCTCTAATTCTCAAAAATCTAATATCATCATAATCACCACATACTTTGCAAACACTTCATAGAATCCAACTGAAGTATCCCAAGTACTCAAATGGTTCTTGACCTCAAAATCAATAGTTGACTCCTAAGATAGCAAAATGACCATACCACAAATATCGGTATGCCCACAAGTACCTCATTTCTGATTTACACTGCTTCGACTTGCAATGTCGTTTTAAAGTTGACAAATAATATGAGAACTTGAATCTCATAACTACAACGCTCTAGCGCCTGATCCCACAATTTTCTTTGATTGCAAAGAATCACCAAAATGGTGTACCACCAATAATTAACATGACGTAAACCCGATAACTCATCAAATTAACTCAATCAAAATAAATCACCACATAAATTTTCATCAAAACAAATCACCACATAAATTTTCAACCCGGAAATTACCGCAATGGAAGATCACTACTATAATAATCAGGGTGACCATGAGTCTAATGCCTCAAGATTCCTTATATATGATAACTGTTCAAAATAAAATCACGAAATCAAAAAACAATCACAAGTCGAGTCATCCGA